GAAATAGTCCTGTTGTTGATTGGGAGCATAAATTCCAATCAAAAGAATTTGGCCATTTACTGTAAGCAATTCAATTGCTATAAATCTACCATCTTCATCTGCTTCTATAATTTTAGCTGTTAGTCTTTTGTTTACATAAATAACCACACCATTCTTTTTTTGCAAAGTTGAAGATATAAAATGTGTTCCTAATTTAGAATTTATCAAATATTTTTGATCTTGAGTTGTGATATGCGTTTCTTGTAAACAGATTATATCATTATTAAATTGTCTCAAGTATGCAAATAACTTCTTCCTTTTCTGTACTGAATTCAACCCATTCACATTCCAAGATAAACACTTAATTGTCATCTTTATCTTTCTGAAGCAACGAGCAGAATAACCGAATATCTTCCGGAATCTTCGGTCTTGCTCCCCCCCATGGCTTCAGTCTCTTGTGTAGTACTCTTAGCTCCCTTTTTATATTGTCTTTCCTGTTGTTGCTTTTCTTTAAGTTGCTTAGATTTTGCACGAGTTATGCGCTGATCCTTAACTTCAACCATCCGAACCGGGTCCAAGATTGGGGAAGATTCCAACAGGGGCTCTTCCAAAAAACCTCCTTCAGCACCCTGCGTTTCCTCTAACTCCACCTGCTTAGACTGTTCTTGCGGTTCTTGCTGGAGTTGCTTCTTATCACTCTCCTTAATCTCCAGGACTGTAGATGTACGTGGAGATGGTGTTCTTTCTTTAAAAATAGCAGTGTAGAAATGCTCCGCCTTCTCCACAGTATTCAAACGATGTCTTTCTCCCTTGTACTTCAAAATTATGCCAGTTGGGGCATCCCACCGAAATGGTATCTCTTGTTTTTGCAGTTCTTTTACTAGAAAGCCAAAATCTTTTCTGGCTTTCAGCATTTTAGGTGGTAGTTCTTTGTAAACTCCAATTTGTGCGCCCCCCACTTGCACAGAAGTAAGAAAGGATTTTTGCAGGATATCATTTCTTATTGCTCTGTCCGTGAAATATATGACCACATCTCTAGGCAATTGTCTTTGTCTGGCCACCCAGGAATTCACTCTGTAAATTTTGTCTATTTTGTAAAAAACCACATCAGGATTAATTTTTAAAATCACTGCCAGAGCCTCAGCACAAGTCTGTCTCAAATCCTGTCTGTCATCCTCTCTGATTCCTCGAAGCCTTATGGCAAATTCCATTGCCCTGAATTGCATCATAACAATTTCGTTTTCAACTCTCTGCATTTTATCATCAACATCAGAAATTTTATAGTCATTGTCTTTCATCTTAACATTGATTTCTGATTTAAATTCTTCCACTTTGGAGTCCACTTTAATAATAAATTCTGCAAGGCCAGACGCCACATCTGATATTTTTTTAGTCACCTTGCCATAATCCTGTTTCACCATATCTTTGATTTCATTAATTTCCTGCATAATTTCCTGTTGAGATTTTTGAAGTTTATCATCTATTTCCTGTTGAGATTTTTGAAATTTATCATCCAAAGCCTGAGAAATAAATTCTTTTAAATTTTCAAAGTCAAAATCTTTTTTCTGAATCTGTATCTGTTGAGCAGGAGGAAGCTGTGTTTCATGTTTGTGTGTGGGGGATCCCCCCCCCCGCTGCCTTTCCTTCCTGCTTCTTTGAGGCCATCCTGCCATGTAAGCTAGATTTTCTGAAAAGGGAAATCCCTTTTCCTTTTCCACCTCCACAGAGACTTCTAAAAAAATCCCCCAGGTTTAATCAAATAGAAACTGGAGTAAAGCAAATTCAGATTTTTAAAAAAGAGTTTTTTTCTCCTCTTCTCTTGTTTCTCTTTATTACAAGCGAAGCAACTTTATAGCAAACTTTTATAGCAACTTTGTAGCAAAGCGAGATAACTTCACAAATCCACTCTCGCTGGCTCGTTAACTCTAGTGCTGGGCGCCATATTTTTTCAAATCACTTTCACTCGCTCGTATTTTCTCTTAAATTAAAAAGTCAACAAAGCGCTAATACTTGCGATTTCCGAGTTTCAGGGTTCAAGTTAATATTTCCACTGCTTGTTGAGGTTGGTTTCATTCACTTTAAACGTTTGCTGCTGCCGGCTTGTTCTGCTGAAGGCAGAGTCGTCCCACGCCGTCCGGAGTCTCAGCAGGTTGGGAGGGAGCCGCGCCTGTTTCCTCCCCAGAAGCAATTCCCTGGGGGCTTACAGGGGCTCAACCTGTGCCCTGCTATCTCTCCTCCTTCAATCCTCTGGATTTCGGAGTTTTCGAGCCGCTTCTCGATCGCGAGGCGGCTCTACAGGCGGCGGGGCTGGCAGTCCTTAAAAAGGCACCGTCATCGCCGAAGGCTAGCAAACCGGAAGTCCCAGGGAAGGCTTCTTGAGGAGGGGCCTCACCACTGCCTCTTTCAAAGCGGCGGGAAAGAAACTCTCACTCAAAGAAGCGTTAATAATCCCCTGGAACCTCCCAGGAAGCCACCACCAACCAGGAGGGACACTGGTCCAGCAAACACGTCGCATTCAGCCTACCCAAAACCCTGTCCACGTCCTCCAGAGTCACAAGGTCAAACTCCTCCCAGCTAACATTCTCAAGACCCACCTCCGTCATCTCATCTGAACCCATCCAGTCGGACTCCAAGCCCTCCCGAATCTGAGTTATTTTGTCTTGCAGATATTGCACAAAATCCTCAGCCATACCCTGCAAGGGGTCTTCCTGTGCTCCTGTATGGAGAAGGGAGCGGGTCACCCTAAACAGGGCAGCTGGGCGGTTATCCGCAGACCAAGGAGCCAATTGATATCGGTGCCGAGTCAGAGGCCGCAAAGGCACGACGCGGTCCAAAACCCCAGTGGCAGCCCTATGCCAGGTAGCCACTAGTTCTTCAGTCGAGTCGTGGGCCAGAGCCTCAGGAAGTGGCCCAAGCTCCGTCCGGAACCTCTCCGGGTCCATCAGGCGCCTGGGACGGTTAACCAGTTCCGTCTCCCTGTGGCGAGGGGTAGCGGTTCGAAGATCCAGTCGGAGTGAATGATCAGACCATGACAAGGGCTGCATAACTAAATCCCCTATTTCTAGATCATTCTGCCACTGACCAGAGACAAAAATCAGATCCAGAGTGTGTCCCCCCGTGTGAGTAGGGCCTCGAACTAACTGGATCAGGTCCAAGGCCGTCATGGAAGCCATGAACTCCTGGGCTGCCATTGATGTGTCACCGACCGATGGCAGGTTGAAATCCCCCACGACCATCAGCTTGGGGGTACCAACTGTCACCCCGGTTATCACATCAGGCAGCTCGGGCAGGGCCACTGCCACGTAGCAGGGAGCCAGGTACATGATAAGCAGGCCCACCTACACCCCACGGCCCCACTTCACGAGGAGGGACTCACATGCAGTTATCTGAGGAACAGTGGTCTCCCTCGGACATAGATCTTCGTTAATAACAACCACCATCCCTCTCCCCTCCCGTGTGGCACCCCCCCCCTTCCGGGCCCAACCAGGTCTCTGTGATACCCACCAGGTCCGCTCCCCCCTCCTGAATAAGATCGTAAATGAGGGGGGCTTTATTTACCACAGACCTGGCGTTACATAACATCAGCCGGAGATCCAGGGCCTGAGGATCTGAGCCACCTGGGAAACGAGAAAGGCTTTGGGGACCGGAGCGCGCAATCGCTCGAAGGTAGCGAGTGCGCACTCCCGAAACATGATATGGCCTCCTGCCACCCCCGTATCTGCCCCTCCCACCTACAGTACTGATTGAACAACCCTCCCTGGATCGAGCTCCCGCCTCCTCCCACACATCCGACCCTGTATCCCTGGTGCCGTACCCCATCGCAGGGCCCAGCCTCGACTCTGGTGGATTTCCCCCTAAACCCACCCCAGTCTTCCCCGAGCCCCTTAAAATTATGATTAAAAACCTATTTATTTATTTATTTATTTATTTATTTATTTATTTATTTATTTATTTATTTATTTATTTATTTATTTATCTTTCAATTTATATACCGCCCTTCTCCCTGAGGACTCAGGGCAGTGCACAGCCAGAATTAAAAACATGAAATACAAATATTAAAAACAATTAAAATCTATATAAATTTGGCCCAAAATTTAAAAAACCACAAACCAATTAAACATTTAAAAATTTTTAAAAATTTCTTCCTAAGCCAGCCCAGCTTGCTGGAAAAAGTGGGTTTTAAGGGCACGGTGGAAGGCACTGAGGTCTTGGATTCTCCTTATCTCTGGGGGCAGCTGATTCCAGAGGGTAGGTGCCCCCACAGAGAAGGCTCTCCCCCTGGGGGTCACCAGCCTACATTGTTTGGCTGATGGCACCCTGAGGAGGCCCTCTCCGTGGGAGCGCACGGGTCGCTGGGAGGTTGTTGGTAGCAGCAGGCGGTCTCGAAGATAGCTAGGCCCTATGCCATGGAGCGCTTTAAAGGTGATAACCAACACCTTGAAGCGCACCCGGAAGACCACCGGGAGCCAGTGCAGCTCACGCAGGAGCGGTGTTACATCACTACCCGCGCTGCTGCGTTCTGGACCAGCTGGAGCCTCCGGGTGCCCCTCAAGGGGAGCCCCATGTAGAGAGCATTGCAGTAGTCAAGGCGAGAGGTGACGAGGGCGTGAGTGACTGTGCACAGGGAATCCCGATCAAGAAAGGGCCGCAACTGGCGAATCAGGCGAACCTGATAAAAGGTCCCCCTGGTTAAAAAACCGCTCAATCTCTTCTTTGCCGCATGCCATCTCTTGGGGCTCCAAAACCCGTCATCAAGATAGGCCCTTGATAGCGTGGAGGGCCAGGCCTGCGAAAGGGGGGAATTTTGCAGTGCTAACAGCTCCGCCGCTGAATGATCATGTGCTTGATCATTGGGACTTTTTTTTTAGGTGTAGTGTTGTGCATATGCCAGACCACTGTGATTTGATTGCAAAGAATGGTTAAAAAACATTGTACAAAGCAGGGCTACTAGCAGAGATCTGCTTCTGTGTAATATGGTTGGATGTTCACATTCTTGTTTTTTCCTCCGGCCTGATTTTTAGGAAGCCACACAGTTTTTTCAAGAAGACGCTTCACAGTATGATGATAGTTTGTCCTTCCAAGACATGAACCTCTCTCGACCCTTGTTGAAGGTATCCTTTTGAAATGTGGGTGCCTGGTGTCTTGTATGAATAAAGCCCAAATAAATTTGAGGTGCGGTGTCTGAAGAGCCAGCATTGGGATATGGTGCTTGCTGCAAAAAAGTCTGCTAGCAGCATAGAAAAGATGGCTGCTTGGAATAGAGTGACGTTCTGGGCCCTTCCCAAGGCCTTCCAGCAGAATAAATCGGTAAAGGGGAATGGGTTGAAATGGCTATTTTTCAGCCACCTTCCTCTTGGGCAGAGTGCATTCTTCCTATAGAAATGGGAAATATTAAGTAATTAAAAGACATAAATGTTTAATACGATGGCCCTGCTTAAGAACGAAAGCGCTTTGGTAAAAGCACTTTCTAGTGATCTAACCAGATCTCTACTGGGCCTGCTTCAGACGTTTGCGTACCGACCTGTGTCACTATCTCTGTTCTCAGGCCATAACCGCCCTGGGCTTCAAGCAGCCCACCCCGATCCAAAAGGCCTGCATTCCTGTAGGACTGCTGGGAAAAGACCTGTGTGCATGTGCAGCCACAGGAACAGGTATGTTGCGCCTAGCCAGTGACGGGAATGGGTTTGAAATGACTTCTGGCCTCCTGTTAATTTAACTTTTTTGCTTATCTTTTAGGAAAGACTGCAGCGTTCATCCTTCCTGTCCTGGAGCGTCTGATCTACAAACCTCGGCAGGCCCCAGTCAGTCGGGTATTAGTGCTGGTGCCAACCCGGGAGCTGGGCATCCAGGTGCACTCTGTTACAAAGCAGCTGGCTCAGTACAGCAGCATCACTGTGTGCCTGGCAGTGGGTGAGTGACCCAGCTTTGGGCATTTCCATGGGTAGTTCACTGATCTGCTTGTTGTTGTTTGGGAATTGTTGGGCTGCCCATCGTTTGCATTGTTGTAGGTGGCTTGGACCTCAAGACTCAGGAGGCAGCCCTGCGCTCCGGTCCCGACATTCTCATTGCCACTCCTGGCCGCCTCATTGACCATCTGCACAATTGTCCCTCCTTCCATCTGGGCAGCATTGAGGTCCTCATTCTGGATGAAGCCGATCGGTGAGAGGATGGCTTAATTCCCCCGGGGCTGAGATGTGGGGCAGGCTCTCCTCTGGCCCTCTAAGCCTCTTGGCCTGAGCTTTGCATGGTGGGCCAGGGAGAGGGCTGGCCAGACCATTGTCTTTTGTCCCCCTTGCATGTCAGGATGTTGGATGAGTATTTTGAGGAACAGATGAAAGAGATTATTCGGATGTGTGCTCGACATCGCCAGACCATGCTTTTTTCTGCAACCATGACAGATGAGGTACCACAGGCGCCTGGCATGGAGGAGGGCAAATGGAGAGAAGTGGGGTGTCCAATTGGGGGACGAGAACCCCTCGCCTTGCCTGGCAGGGCTGCTCTGGAGCAGCAGCAGGAGGCCTTGTTCCTGTCACATTTGGAGGAGAGCCTTTTCTGGGGCGCTATTTCTGGGAAGGGGTCAAGCCTGAGGAACCCTCCTTTCCCTTTGTCAGGTCAAGGATTTGGCTTCGGTTTCTTTGAAAAACCCTGTCCGGATCTTTGTGAACAGCAACACAGAGGTGGCCCCCTTTCTGCGCCAGGAGTTCATCCGCATCCGGCCCAGCCGTGAGGGGGACAGGGAAGCCATTGTGGCAGGTGGGGCTGGTGGTGGTGGAGGCCTCTGGTGGCGGGTTCAAGAGAGGGAGCCGGCAGTGATGAGTCTCCCTCTGCTCTCCAGCTCTGCTCACTCGGACATTCCCAGACCACGTGATGCTCTTCACCCAGACCAAGAAGCAGGCCCACCGCCTGCATATCCTCCTTGGCCTGATGGCTCTCCGTGTTGGGGAGCTGCACGGCAACCTTTCCCAGGCCCAGCGGTTGGAAGCTCTCCGGTAGGGGGAGGGGAGGGGAGGGGAGGATGTGGCCGGGGAGGGTTGCGTTGGGGCTGGGCTGGCCTTTTCAGGGGCTCCTTTCTTTGCAGGCAATTCAAGGATGAGCAGATCGACGTGCTGGTGGCTACTGATGTTGCCGCCCGAGGCCTTGATATCGAAGGCGTCAAAACAGTAAGCTCCCTGCTGCTTGGCCCTCCCCCACCCCAGCCCCCTTTTCCCCACGGGGCAGATGCTCTTTCCTGCCTCCTCTGTACTTGCAGGTGATCAACTTCACCATGCCCAACACCACCAAGCACTATGTCCACCGGGTGGGGCGCACAGCTCGGGCAGGGCGCGTGGGCCGCTCTGTGTCCTTAGTGGGAGAGGAAGAGCGCAAGATGCTGAAGGAGATCGTCAAGGCTGCCAAAGCCCCCGTGAAGGCCAGGATTCTCCCCCAGGGTAACAGCCGTGGGGAGGGTTGGGGGGTGGGTTAGACCGTCACTTTACCGTGAGGGACTCGATGGCGGCAGCAGCCTTTCTGTGCCCCCCAGATGTGATTCTGCGCTTCCGGGAGAAGATTGAGAAGCTGGAGCCAGATGTGTATGCTGTGCTACGCTTGGAGCGGGAAGAGCGGGAGCTGCAGTGCTCGGAAGCCCAGGTGGGGCGGTGGGGGAGGGGCTCCTGGGCAGAGTTCTCTGCCCACCGAGCGAGTGGGGAAAGAGGGGTCAGTTTCCAGTTGGGGTTTCTCCACAGGACTTAATTTAGAAATTCATTTCACTCAAACAGCGGAAAGAACGACATCTGGGTGACACCAAGTCTAGGCAGAGAACGACTGCATTTCAACACGCGCAGGATCTACCGTGGGGGGTGGGGGCTGTCTCAGCTGCTTCACTGGGGGATGAGTAACGTCCTTTCTTCCCCCCCTCACTCGCCAAGGGCAAACAAATCTGGTCCCACGTCTCCTGAGGCCGGGTTTGGGCTCTGACCACCTCTGCTCTCCTTCCAGATCAACACTGCCAAGCGGAAGTTGGACAGAGGTTCCCAGCAAGCAGCTGGAGGCACTCCCCGTAGCTGGTTCCAGAGCCAGGAGGAGAGGAAGAAGGAGAAGCGTAAGGGCTGGCTTTGGGAAAGGGCTTAGATTCATCCGTCCGCCCAGGCCTGGCCCTGATCCCCCCCTCAACCCCTGGCTTGCTTCCCTACCAGTTGCCAAGGCTCTTCAAGAGTTTGACTTGGCGCTTCGAGGCAAGAAGAAGAGAACGAAGTTTGTGAGGGATTCTCAGAAGAAGGTTCAGCCGACGGTGAGCCTGGAGGGGGAGGGAGGGAGGCTGGCGCTTGGGCCCCTGGCCGCGTCCAAGGCAGCCGTGCGAGCATCTCTCTCATCGGCAGCCAGAGGAACGTTCCCAGTTTGAGATCTTGAAAGCCCAGATGTATGCCGAGCGGCTGTCCAAGAGGAACCGCCGGCCCAAGCGAGCCCGGGCCATGCCGGAGGAAACGCCACTGGTAGACATGAAGGCTGGTGAGAAGAAGGCCTCTTTCCCTTCCCTAGTTCTGAGTCCAGGGGTGCTGGGGAGGGGGGGGGGGCTTCCTTCCATGCCTAGCTTATATAACCTGGCTTCTTGGCTCTTCTCTCCCCTGAAAGGGCCCAAGCAGCAGCGCAAGAAGACCACATCGGTGTTTGACGTGGAGCTCACCAGCACAAACAAGAAAGCCCTCAAGCAGTATCGAGCGGGGCGAGTATTGCTGTCCTGGCCTTGCAACTCCCTCCCTTCGGTGGGGAGTTTGGGGGGCTCTGGCTGGACGATGCTTCTCCCCCAGTGTCTGGGCCCAGAAGCCCAGTCTGGTGGGTCGGGAAACGGCCTGGCTGGGAGCCCACGAGTGGAAGCCTAGGGAGGGGAAGTGAAGACAAAAGTCCAGAAGGCGGCAATAGAGGGAATTGTGCAGAGGAGGTCACCAGAAGTGAAGCTTCACTCAAAAGCATATTCTCCCGCCCTCCCTCCCTCCCTCTCAAAGACCCTGGGTGGTTCAGAGGAAAAGTCCCCCTTGTTCCCTTAAGGTCCACTGAAGGCGATACTCTTTTCCTCTCCAGGCCTTCCTTTGAAGACCGCAAGCGACTGGGCTTCCCAGATAGAAGGAAAGGAGGAAAATTTAAAACCAAGTCCAGGTAAGGCTCCCGTACACCCAGTCTTCCTTCCTGGATTCTTTTCTGGTTCTGAGATGTTGCTTGCTTGTTCTTTATGCAGGTACAGGCGGAAGTGAGCGCACCTCTACGCAGCAGCCCTTGTGTAATTCTGGATCCCATCCTTCACATTCACTCTCCCTGCAGCAGCCTAGCAGTTGGAAACAAGCAGTGGCTGCTTTAGGACTTGGCTGAAGGACTGGACCTTGGGAGGGATGGCACTTGGGCCTCTCTCCTGCTTCTCTGAAACTTCTCAGGAAGACCTTGAGACCAAATAAACCAACTGTGCTGTTGGCTCATCTGCCTTGCTATGGAGCCCGAGGGTTGTGTGTGATCTTTACCTCGCAGCTATTAAGGAAGCTGAAAATTCCAAGAACTGAAAGGCAACCTTTACTCACTAAAAGATACTTCTTACTAATAGTAACGACGTATTCTAGTAAAATCAGCAGGGGGAAGCTCAGAAGTGCTCTTAAGGTGAGGAGCATTGTCCTTATCTTTGCCCTTGATGGGTCCTGGCCTTGGAGCCAGGCTGTTGCCGTCACCGCAAACCAGAGAACCTCCTGGGACAAGTTGCTTGGGATTCCCGAGGTCCTTCCTGCCTTAATGGAGCAGCTGGCGCTTTGGGCCTTCACACTCCTTGAGTCCCCAGGATCAAGGCTCTGGTTGGGACGGAGCTGCTTTCATCACTAGAGCCGCCACTTTGGGCAGAGGTCTCTGTATTTGCCTGCCCAAAGAGCAGCCCCCCCCTCCAGCCATAGTCCCACAAGCCCATATGACACAAAAGCAGACAACTGCCACTGTCCGTTGCTGGAAATGTAATTCAGGCTGGAACGTTTACTGACATGCCAAAGGTTGGGGTGAAATCCATAGGACTCTTCACCTGATTTTATTGCAAGCCAAAGATGGCAGTCTTCTTAGCTATTTCTTCAGTATTTGGAATTGATAAAGAATTGTGAACTTTCCAATTACGGCAGCACTCCAAAAATATTAACAACTGGAAGGATAAATCCACACGTAATTGTGGAATGTTCAATGATTGATATAGGTTGCTTCTTAAATGCAGCTTTTAGAACAGCTAAGCAAGATGGCCTTTTGAGGAATTGGATCAGCGGGAGGGGCTTTTGGCTCAGTTTTATTTCCCAGGGTTTATGGGGAATGTGTCCCTCTGCTGTGAGCTCTATAGCCAGTGTGGAATGTACAGGGGAACAGCTGCAGGAGGACTGCGCTGACCATTCTTGGCCCAGGAAGTATTGGAGCTCGTGGGCTGCACTTGAATTTTATTTCCTGTGACAGAACTTAAAGGCTGAGCTGTAAAGAAACCTTGGTTCTCTCAACATAAATGGACCAATTAAGGATCAGAGCTTCAGCCAAGGTTTTTGTTCGCTACTTAAACGCCAAGGTAACATCTACAGTAGCTCAGATGTCTAGCCGTACCAGTGGTTACATCCATACAGAGAACTGTGGAAGGACAGTCCTGGCAGAGCTGGCAGATGCTTACCAGGAACTGCTGGGCCCTCAACACGGGGCTCTCCCACAACATGAAAACTCTGCTTATTTTGACACCATGGAGTCCTTGTAGCTCTCCGGGCGTGGTTTTCTTGCAGTCATTTCATGTGTACTGAAGATGATGCCTAGTTGGGTCATGAACCATCTGCAAGAAAACCACCAAGAGCAGAGAGCACTAAGGACCCCTCATTTCAACCCTATTAGTGTTTTGACACTCCTGGCATGGGACTGGCAATTTGTTCACCCCAGGCCCAATCTCTCCTTCAAGTTCTCAGATATTTCAGTACCTATGACTTCAAGAGACAGATGGAAACTATGACATAACTGGCTGAATACCCATGCTCTGCTACAAAACTATATGATCGGGCTTGATAAATCGACAGCTTGCAAATTAATGAATAGTTACAATTGGCCTCTCCCCTTCTCTCCCTCAGGCTTGCTGAAGAGGCCTATCCTATCCCCTGCTTGGTGCTGTGAAAGTAAAACTGAAACTCCTCTCCTCTGCTTGTGTTCTGCATTTGGAACAGATTTCTTTTCAGGTGGGGAGGGGGAGTAGAACTCCTTTGCATCAGAGTGTGATAATAATATAGGAAATATTAGTGCTCTGATGGTCATTTCAAAAGATCCTTTCTTAGTGACCACCTAGAAGTCAAGAGGAATATGTGTGGCAAATTTCAAGTTTGTAGGCTTTCTGGAGATTTTGTGATGATGCGTGTGAGTGGTATTTTGCTTTGATATATATAATAGAGTTTGTTAACAATTTACAGCCTTGTTGGTATTAAAGCAGAATATGTGCCTGATCTCCAGTGATGACTTTCAAAAGTTCTGAACCAGCAGAGACCCAAACTGCTAACATACGACGGGTGATGGAATTGAGAGCCAGAGTGTGTATTTGTTTTCACTTAATATGAACATGCCCGTATTCAACAACACATGTAGGCAGACCTTTTCTCCTAGCCTCTTTAACAGAATAGGAATTGGAAGGGAGATCATCTAGTCCAGAGGTTGTGGCATGCCAGCATGGAAAAATCACCTGTTCTGGTCCGCAGAAAAACCTTTATCCATAGAACCAGACCCTGGTACTCCAAAGGTTGGGGGGCCGTTGATCTAGTCCAACATCCTGCTCGAGGAGGAGGCCCTATACTACTTCAGACAAGTACCATGGAAGCAAGTCCTTCACTATCTTGGTATATGTGCCCTTGGTGGCTACTTGGGAGGCAGCTGCTACCAAGGAAGGGGATGGTCTCAGAGGCCAAGGGGTCCCAAAATGCTTTCCACCTTTTCTTACTCCAAACCCAGGCCTTACATTGACACCACAGGAGGAATCGGCAAAGTTTTATTAGAAAGGGCAACATGACATCAAAAAACAGCACATACATACATACATAGTTAATCCTGCTCCTGCCATCTTGTGATTAATAAGATTGTCCCCCTGAGTCCGACTGGATTCAGCATGGGTGTCAAGGCCTAGGCGGGCGCATGCCAGGAGGAGGGGGACCTAAAAACAAGAGTCACAATTACCTGCAGCCGTAAAAACACTAGTGCTACTGAGTAATTTGTTTCCACCTGGCTGCTATCACAATGGCCTCTCATACCAAGTCAAAAATAAGACCGCTTTGGCAGTTTATCTCAGAATTCAACTCTCCAACAAGAGGACTTACCTCTCATGCCAGGTGGTGGCGGCCTCATTCCTGGAGGTGGCATCCCCATTGGTGAGCCACGGCCTGGTGGCATCCCCATAGGAGGGCCCATGGGTGGTCTCATACCAGGAGGGGGCCCCATCATTCCTGGAGCAGAAAAGCAGACGCATCAGCAAGTGACAGTCCCTTCCCTCCTCCTGCCGCCTCCTAGCCCAGTAGAGACCTCAGAGTAATCCTGCTTTGACAATGGCTCCTCACAGCAATGCTCAGATACTACCATTCATCACAGGTCCCGTCGGCTCCGGTAGCAAGAAGGGGGTGGGGGTAGCTTAGTCAAAACTCACCTGGAGGGGGAGTGCCCCTTCCCATGGGCGGGGGAGGGCCTCCACGGCCTGGTGCATATTGAGTCGGGGCTCCCGCTATGCTGGCAGTGGCAGCAGCGGCTGCAGCAGCAACTGTCCCTCGGCTCTGAGGTGTCATTACCTGTAATGAAAAAACAGTTCAGAGACGCTGAACATGATGGGCCACTCATCTCTGTCCCTGTCCACAAGATAAGGTGAAAAGGACTCCTGGGCCCCAAAGTAGTGTTTATGCCCGAGGCAGCTCGACATCTGAACGTAGCCCTGCTTACCTGTTGGGATGGTCCACCAACCCCACGCACAGGACCGGCCAAACCTGCAGGTGCTTGGGGCATTGGAGCTCCGGCTGGCACTCCTCTTCCAGCCGCTCTGCCGACACCGGGTCCCCCTGCTGCCCCAGCCAGCGGCACACGAGCAATCCCAGTCTGGAAAAGAGCCAAACGGTCACCAGGCAGCATCCTTTGTAAGTCACTGGCTGTGCTCGGGAGCCTAAAACCACGGGGTTATCTCAGCACAGCCGCTCTTCGCATCTCCCTCCCCGGATTGATTCCTCCCAGGGAGCTTTTCCCTAGCACAGGGGCCCCGTCGGATCCTCCGTTATCGATCTCTTAATAAACCGGGCCAATTCAAATAAGTCCGCTGTCCCTTGGTAGCCTCCCCTCCCGGCGCCCAAAGCAGGAGGGGGCCACGACCAGCAAGCCAGGCTTGAAGCCTCCAAAGGCCGCCGGTGAGGAGCTCTGGGACCCCGCCACAGCACAAGCCTCCCCCCCCCGTCTTACGTCCTTGGGGGGCGGCCCCTCCACGGTCATGGAGACCAGGTTCTCGCCGCGGAGCAGCACCAGGCCCAGCACGCGCTTCTCCTCCCGCTCGGGCTGCTTGGAGTTCTTGGGCCTGCGAGGAAAAAGGAGGAAAAAGGAAGGCGCCGAATGACGCCCGGCCTCCCCCCCTCCCCCTCCCCCTCCCCCGGCGGCGGCGGCGCTCACTTGATCTTGCGGAACTCGTCGCAGTCGCAGAGGATGAGGTTCATGTGCTTGTCGAAGGCCTTGAAGGTGCCGATGAAGACGCGCCCGTCCTGCAGGATGCACCGCATGCGGTAGTCGATGTGCTGCAGCATCTTGCTGCTCTTGCCCACCGTCTGCGGGGAGAAGGAGGGGCGGTCAGCGCGCGGCGGGGGAGGCGGTCCGGCTTCCCCGTCGGGGCCCCCGCCGAGCCCGGGCTCACCATGGTGGCGGCGTCCCGTCTCCTTCCTCGGCCGCCGCGCTTCCCGCTGCCTCGCGAACCGCCAACGCTCGGCCGCTTCCGCCGGAACCGGAAGGAAAGCGTAACTTCCGGCCCCGCCGGCCTCCCACCCCTCAGCGGCCGCCGGGCGCGAGCGACGCCGCGGTTTCCATGACAGCCGGTTCTTCGGCGACGGCCTCGCCAATTCACCAATAGGAGAGGGCGCTGGGGGCGCCTCGTCCAATCCTCGGGAGAGGCGGGACCGAGGGGGGTGGAAGGTCGAGGGGGAGGGGCGGAGAGGGCGGAGCCGAGCCCGGGAGGAGAGCGGAGCCCAGAGCGGTGGGAGAGGCCGAACCCCCCCAGCCCAGCCCTGCCCCCCCCCGCCCCAGGCGGCGTTCCCGGGCAGGTGAGGACGCGGCCTGGGAAGGCGCTGCAGGCTTTCGGCGGAGGCCGCGCGGGTTGGCGCCCCGCCTCGCTCCAGCCTCCGGGGGAGGGCGCCCTGGCTGAAAAGCCCGCCGGTGGGGAGCGCGGGAGGGGGCGCTGCCTCAGGCCCCGGAGAACAGACCCCTCCCTCCCCCGGGGAGCCCCGCATCTGCCCCCGTGGAGGTCCAGCCAGGGGAGCCCTCTGGGGCTGGGGGGGGGGGGCGCTCCGAAGGCCTCCCAGGGGACGGGGACCCCGAGGGAGAAGCCGGCATCTCGGGGCTTCACCGCTTTGCCCCTTGCCCGTCTCCTGTTCCCGAAAGCATCCGGAGCGAGCCCGGGGCTCTCCTCCTGGCCTCCCCGGCTCGCTGCTCCGCAGACGGTTGAGCTGCAGCTCCCTCCTGGCCTCTCTGGCCTCCCCTTTTCCCCTCTCCAGCCTCGGGGGGGCGGGGGGTCTGACAGGCTAAGCGCGCGAGTGAAATCCTTGGCTGGACTCGGACTCCATGCGATCGATTTCACACCCAGGAAGTGCATCTGTGTAACAGGAGGCTCTTCTCTGGCTCAGCTCCGGTAGCTCGTTTGATTAGTTCCCGGCTCATTCATTGTGTTCTGCGTCGTGTAATGATCTAGAATAGGAGCCTCTGCCATTCAGGCATTTCTGGTGACTTGCTGATTTTATTGCATTTTATACGTGTCAAAAGTAGTTTGGAGTAGGGAAATGTGATGAATAGTAACAAAGAGCAAGACGTTTTTAAGTGGAGAGTGTTGACCAATTAGTGCTGCTGGGTGCAAAGGGGTGGTTTCAGAAGTGCCATGGGGCCCCTTCCCCCTGAGCAGCCAGCAAACTGCAGTCATTTGGCCAATCATCGCAGGAAGGCATGTGCTGTCCTGCCAGTCCTGGAAGTGGGTCAGAGGAGGAGGAGGCTTTCTCTCAAGCCCTTTTTCTTAGGGGCCAGCTGGGCAGATTAGCCCAGTTGACTTCAGCTTGATTTAGACTTGCGCACAACATTTATGCGTACCTGCGCTGCAGAGCGGTTGATGGGTATAAGCATAGGCTGCAGTCGGGCCTACGACGCGCACGCCTCCCAAGCCTCGAGGATGCCGTGCATGGAGATGCGCATCCTGCTGATTGGTTGGTCCAACTTCCTGTTGGGAGGCAGGCGAAAAGTAAGGGCATTTGAGTGACAAAAAGGAGCAACTGGAGGAGAGACCTGCCAACGAAGTCAGCAGATATTGACATTCGTATGACGTAACAGATAAGTACTACAAAACCCAGCAGGTAACAGTCAATCTCTGGAAGGACTTTGGGGAAAGACCCAGGCAGGGGCAAAGAAAAGTCGAAGCTCAGACTGCCACACTTGTGCTTTGCTGCTTGCCGGAAGGGGAACGTTGGCAGACGTGTGAAGGCCGGGGCTCTGCAGCAGCGCCTGCGTTGCCCAACGTGCAGTGAGGCTGAAGTCTGAATCGAGCTTCAGAGCTGATGCAGAGCTGAAGAATTTATTTCACAAAGGGCAGCCTCGTCTTTTTCTCTAGGGCTGACCCATGGGGCCTTCATTGTCTGACGCCATTGGAGTGAAGCCCATCAGAACAGGATCTGTGCGCCTCTCTCGAGAGCTTCACTGAATTTGTTATGCATCCCCTCCCCCCACCCTTCAACCAGGTGGTTCCTGACTGCGCTTGAGACCCCCCCCCGAGAGGAGGTCCTCCGCAGGGGGTGGGGATTCTCTGTTGTGCTTCTGAAGTCCAAGTCTCCGTCTGGCTGTCCTCGGTTTTAGTCACCCCTGAATTCCGGATGCTGCCATTCCCCCACAGTCCCCCTTGGGGTCAAGATCATTCAGCCCATCTGCCTTCCTCTGGAGTTGAGAATTTCCTGAGGGGACCCAGCTGGTCAGATTATATCCTCACCAATGCCCCCCCTCCCCATTTTATGTGCCTCCTTGAAATGTCTGCAGTCCCATCGCTTCAGCTGTATGTGGGAAGCTGCAAGTGCCGGGTGGGGCCCAGAGAACAGATGCGCAGTCAGCCCAGGCCCTCGACTGATCCCTGGGCTAGAACCGGGAAAGGGCCTGCAGTTTGGGCCGGTGGCTCCTGCGGTGGCAAAGCAGCCCACCTGCCAACCCTTTTCTGCCATGACAGGTTTGGAAGGTGGTCCCCGTTTCTAGCGAGAGAGCTGGATCTCCCAAGAGATGCCGCCCCCCCCGGACATAGTCAAGGTGGCCGTGGAGTGGCCTGGCGCCAACGCCCAATTGCTCGAGTTTGACCAGGTGAGAGACGGGGTAGGCTTTGAGTAAAGGCTGCCCAAGTATTGGCAGGAGTGGGGCCTGGACAGTGAGCCACAGCAGGGTGGCTGTGGATGATGGTGGGGACAGGCAGAGCTTGGTCCAGAGAAGCCTCCTAGCTCACGATTCTCGCCCTTTTCAGAAGCGGCCCCTGGTCTCCATCATCAAGGAAGTCTGTGACGGGTGAGTGCCAGCCAGTCAGTTCAGCCTCCTCCTCTTCCTCACCTTCTCAGCTGGGGCTTCAGGAGCTCCCTCCCTCCCTCCCTCCCTCCCTCCCTCCCAGGTGAAGGAACGCCCAGGCTGGGAGGCTCAAGCGCTTTTCCTGTCTTGGTCCCCTTGCAGATGGTCCCTGCCTAACCCTGAATACTATACACTACGCTATGCCGATGGAGCACAGCTCTACATAACGGAACAGGTAGGCTGACAATCTTCTCTTTTTGCAGGCCTAGAGTCCAACACACACACATACACACACACAGAGAGACTAGTGTTAAGGCAGCTTTTGTCGTTGTGCACTACAGACTCGTGGTGACATCAAGAATGGGACCATCCTCCAGTTGGCGGTTTCTCCAGTAGGTTTGGGCTGCTGCTAGCCCTTCCTGATGAGGCTTGGGGGTGGGGCTCTTTTTCCTCCCCCCTCTATCCCCCCCCCTTGCCAGTTGCAGTGTTGAGGACCTGCTCTGGGCTCCCTGCCTCCCGAGCGAGATGGGGAGGGGCTCCCAATGCCTCCTTTTCAGTCCAGGGCTGCTCGCCAACTGATGGATCGGACCCAGTCCTCCACCTTGGAGGGCTGCCTGGAGGCCATGAAGGAACTGGCCAAGCTCTCGGCAGATATCACGTTCGCCACTGAGTTCATCAACATGGATGGCATTGCGGTGCTGACCCGGCTGGTGGAGGGCAGTTCCAAGCTCCTCTCTCAGTAAGCGCCCGGCTGCTCTTGTCCTTCCCATCCCCCACCTTTACAAACACTTCTAGCACCTTTGCCCAGAGGTGCATCTTCCAACAGAGGATTGAGCCTCCTGTTGCTCCCAGACCTCACTGCTGTCGAGCGGCTCTCCAGGGGATGCCAGGAGGGGCACGGAGGTAGTCAAGCCCGCTTAGTGCTTTCCTGTTGGGGAAAGGATGGCAACAGGGTCATAAGGCTTGTTCCCTTCCTAGAAAGTCCAGGAAAAGGAGAGAGAAGTAGGTGCCACCTAGTGGCCCATGACCTTTAGCCAGCATGGCAGTCCATGGAGGGTGAGCTCAGGGGCAGCCAGAGGAGCCCCAGAGGCTTCCCTGGCAGATTCTGCCATGGCCTGTGTCTCCTGGAGCCCCCAGGCGGCAGGGTGACCTCCTCCTTTGCCCTCGCCCGTTTTGGCTGGCAAGAGCGTGGACAGCGGGGCCATGTGAGACAAGAGCCGAAGGGGTTGTTGGAAGCTGAGAAAGAGCCGAGCAGCAGCCTGCAGAGGGGGCGGTTTGTACCTTCCCCTACAGCTACGGTGAGATGCTGGCCTTCACTCTGACTGCCTTCTTGGAGCTCATGGACCACGGCCTCGTCTCCTGGGACACAGTCTCCATCAGCTTCATCAAGCAGGTGCCGTCCACTGGGGGGAGAGCGGGGATGTCCTGGTGAAGCAGGCTGGTGCTAACCGGGGGCTCGCTCTGCCGGCAGATTGCGGGGTACGTGAGCCAGCCGACGGTGGATGTCTCCATCCTGCAGCGCTCCCTGGCCATCCTGGAGAGCATGGTACTGAACAGCCAAGTTCTCTATCAGAAGATCGCGGAGGAGATCACAGTGGGGCAGCTCCTCTCCCACCTCCAAGTGTGAGTGTCCCAGGGCTTGGGGCTCCCCCTTGTCCACCCCCTAGCAGGGCAGAAGAGCTGGACCAATTCTCTCTCTGGGTGTCACTGCAGCTCCAACCAGGAGATCCAGACGTACGCAATAGCATTGATCAACGCCCTCTTCCTGAAGGCTCCCGAAGACAAGAGGCAGGTAAGTGGCCGGCCTGGCAGCGGAGGCAGGCTTTGCTCCCTTCTCCTGGGGGGTGGGGGGAGCTGTCTCTGGGATGTGGGCTGGCCTGGGCGTCTCTGCGTGCACCCCCTCCATCTGTGTCCTGTGAAAGGCTATGTATGCCCCCCCCCCCCTTCCCCTCCCCTCCCCCCAGTCTGCTGATTCCGTCATCTGCTCCTTTTGTGCCTGTTTCTGCTTTCCGCCCCCAGGACCAGCTTGCTAGCCCACTTGACCTGCCCTGCACTGTAAGTGGATCCCTGTGCCAGGGAAGGGAGGCCTGGCTGGCTCCGGATGTTCTCTTTCAGGGTGTTGGGGTGCACGGAAGGAATCGGAGGAGCAGGGGGGCCGCAAGGGCAGGAGGCTACTCCCCCTGTGGGGTCTTCGCTTCCCTGGTGGGCTGGAAGGTGCCCCCTCTGGCTCTCTCCCTTCCACTCCCCCGCCCAATTTCCCTTTTACCTTCCTGGCAGGAGATGGCAGACGCCTCCGCTCAGAAGCAGCTGCGTTCGGCCATCCTGACGGTAAGGCTCGGGGTCCTAGAAGCCCTCCCTAGATAGCCCTGTCATCCATCGGCCTTCCCTTCACTTAGGCCTTACAACTCTGCAAGACAGCTTGCCCTTGCCGGGCAGCGGGCAGCATGGCAGCCACAGCAGTCTGGGCCAGTTGACAGCTGTGAGGCGGTAGGGGCTGCTCCTGCTGACCGTCTTCACACACTTCCCCCCCCCCCCCCAGCACGTCATCCGAGGGAACCGCCCCATCAAAAGCGAGATGGCCCACCAGCTGTACGTGCTGCAGGTCTTGACTCTCAACCTCCGGGAGGAGCGGATGATGACAAAAATGGACCCCAGCGACCAGGTGGGGGCCCGGTAGCCCCATGCAGCCTTCGGGGCAGGGGTCCAGCTGCTGCCGCTGGCCAGGCTCACTGTCCCCCTTGTCCCAAGCAGGCCCAGCGGGACGTCCTCTTTGAGCTGCGCAGGATTGCCTTCGAGGCTGAGGCCGAAAGCGGCGGTGCAGAGAAGCGCAAGGCCATTTATACCAGGGACTACAAGACACTGGGCTTCACGGTCGGTTGGCGGTGTGCTGAGAGGGAAGGCCGGCTGGGCTGCCAGGCCAGGGGCCAAGAGAGACCCGTTTATTTCCACAGAACCCTGTCAATCCTGCCCTGGACTTCCTTCAGACCCCCCCAGGCATGTTGGCCTTGGACAATATGCTCTACCTGGCCAAACATCATCAGGATGCCTACATCCGAGTAAGGGGCCCGGCTGCCGCCGCCCCCCCCCCCCCCCGTGGAGTAGCGGAGCTGCACAGGCAGCCACCCGGGTCCCACTCACTCCGAGTGTCTCTTCCTGCCGCACAGATCGTCCTGGAGAACAGCAGCTCAGAGGACAAACACGCCTGCCCCTTTGGCCGCAGTGCCATTGAGCTCACCAAGATGCTGTGCGAGATCCTGCAGATTGGAGAACTTCGTAAGCAAAGTCTGGTGGGCTCCCTTGAGGAAGCCAACCGTGAGGGAACCGTTCAGGGCCAGAGCAGACACTGCTCTCTGGTCAAGCTTTCCCCTTCTGCTCTGAGCCCCGCAGGGCACCCGGCTGGTAGCAGCCCTAGGGTGGTTGTGTGTGTGTGTGTGTGTGTGTGGTTTGGGCAAGGATGGCTGTTGAGTGCCATTGGCTGGCGGGCCACTCACTTCCCAAGGGTTGGTCGGAAAGATCAAAGCTCTGCTTTGCCGCTCAGAGCCTCATAATGCAAGTCTCAGGGCAGCTGTGAGGATCCCTGGGTGTTCAGCTGGCATGTTTTTGTGCAGTTTCTCACATACACCAACCGCACTTCCTAGTGCTTTTCTGCTGGGGCCTCCAGGCAGTCTGGGAATATTTGCCCTGGATCTCCCCCTCCCTCTCAAAGCTCAGCCTGGGGGAAAGGGGGCCTCCCTGGTCGCTCTGACAGCCTGCTTCCTCCCTGTCTCTGCCAAGCCAACGAGGGCCAGAACGACTACCACCCCATGTTCTTCACGCACGACCAGGCCTTGGAGGAGCTCTTCGCCATCGGCATCCAGCTGCTGAACAAAACCTGGAAGGAGATGCGGGCGACAACCGAGGATTTCCACAAGGTGGGTGGGTCTCCGCAGAGGAGCCTAGCTGGCCGCCACCTCTCTTTCCACAGCCCCGCAATGCCTCTGCCCTCCTCCTCCGCCAGGTGATGCAGGTGGTGCGGGAGCAGATCACCCGGGCACTGCCTGCCAAGCCACCCTCCCTGGACCAGTTCAAAGGCAAGCTGCGCAGCCTGGGGTACTCGGAGGTCCTGCGCTTGCGCCAGTCGGAGCGGATGAGCCAGGATGACTTCCAGTCCCCGCCCATCGTGTGAGTGCCTCGGGGGGGAGGGGCTGGGGGGAAACTCCCCACTCCCACCCCTCTGATGTGCCTGCTGGCCGGCCTTCCCCAGGGAGTTGCGGGAGAAGATCCAGCCAGAGATCCTGGAGCTCATTAAGCAGCAGCGGCTGAACCGCCTCTGCGAGGGGAGCAGTTTCCGCAAAGTAGGCAACCGGAGGAGGCAAGGTGAGCCAGTGGGGCCCCCTCTCATGGGGGGGGGGGTTAGTGAGATGGAGGGCCCTTGCCGAGATCATTCCCCTGCCTTGCAGAGCGCTTCTGGTACTGCCGACTGGCCCTGAATCACAAGACACTCCACTACGGAGACCTGGAGGAGAACGCCCAGGGAGGGGTGACCTTGGAGTCACTGCAGGAGAAAAGTATGCTGGGGGAGGGGGCTGTGTGTGCAGCTGGGGGGGGGGACTTGGTAGCCCTCCGGCCCCGGGGGTCTGTCTGCCTTGGGGGGGGGGGCGTGATTGCAGCCCCTTTTCCTTTAGTCCCCGTGGCAGACATCAAGGCCGTCGTTACCGGGAAAGAATGCCCGCACATGAAGGAGAAGGGGGCACTGAAGCAGAACAAGGTATGGGCATCCCAGGGAGGACACCCCTCCCCCCCAAGGCCTCTTGCCCAGGGACGGAGACGGGGGAAGGGAGAGGCCCTCCCCCCCCCCCCCCCCCCCCCCCCCGGTCACTGGCTTCTCTCTTCATCCCCAAGGAGGCCCTGGAACTGGCTTTCTCCATCCTTTATGACCCGGATGAGACCCTGAACTTTATCGCGCCCAATAAGTATGAGGTGAGCAGAAGATAACAGGTGGGGGAGCCCAGGGCTGCCCATTCGCCCCCTGCTCTTATCCTCCTGGGCCAGCCCTCAGGTTGCCCTCCCTGGCCAACTTTCCCTGCCCAAGGGAAGGCCCTCATAGCTGCTTCCCGAAAGCTGTGAGGGGGCAGCTGTGCGGAGAGAGCTACAGTTGGGGGGGGGGCGCTCTGGTAGCCACCTGGTTTGACCCTGCTGAGGGTAGGAATTAAAGCACCGCAATAGGTGCCTGTCCGGCCTTCGCCCAGACACATCCCCTGAACAGGGGAGACCCCCCCTCCCCCTGCATCATTGGCCTCTCTGCTGAATGGCTCCTCTTTCCGACCTTCGGTCAGTAGGTCCTTTCCTGAAAACTTATACTGAAGTTTGGGTTCCTGGAAAGAGACCCTGGAAAGCCACTTGTGTTTCTTATGAGGCCACCAACAATCCTTTCCTCCTCGTCTCCCTCCCTTTATGTCAGTCAGAGTAGGCGTTTCTGAAGAGTCACACCACATTTGTGGCCCCCTCGTCCAAACAGACTCGGTCCCTCAGAATGGCCCCCTTGCAGTCGCAGTCTCTGCTTTCCCGGCAGAAGCAGCATGTCAAGTACACCTTCCTCCCCCACCCCACCCAGGCACTCGCTCAGCGGCTCCTGGGGAGCCCTTTGGCTACCAGCAGTTATGGAGAACCTTCCGGGCTCTTCGAACCAGCAGCAGCGGTGGGAGGCAGGCTGGGAGAGGGGATGGCTTTGCGTGTGCCCCCACCCCTTTGCGCAGAAGGAGCTCACGTGCTCTCTTGCATGGCCCCTCTTCCCAATGGGCCGCGTCCCGGGACCAAGCTGCTGGTTCGAAGAGCCTGGGCTGGGGACCCGATTTAGAAGATGACTGTATCAGCCCTCTTGGGCCCCCCAGAAGGCGCAACCCCTGGCTCCATTTTGGAGGCTCCTCCGGGGACAGGAGGCCTCATGTGGGTAACGCTGCTCTTCCAGCAGGGGTGTGTGGGGGTGAAGAGAGCATCAGCTGCCTGTCCCCTTCAGAAATGCCAAGGCTGAAGAGAGCAGCTCTTCCCATCCCATCCCCCGGAGGCCTTCCTCTCGCCTTGCTCTAATCGGGATGGTGGTGCCCAGAATGGAACTCGGGCTCCCCATGGGATTCCATCGGGCCAAAAGGAGCGAAAGCTCCCACTCCCCCCACCCCCCACCCCAGCCTTCGTTAGCAGCAGCTCTGCCCAATTGCTACTCGGAACTATGTGAAGGCAGATCCCTCCCACAGCTGCCGGGTCAGGCCAGCTCTGTCCCCGGGCCTTTTCCCATCTCAGGTGCAGAGCAGGAGGGAGGGACGGGCCTCCCCCCTGCTTTTGTTTCCAAGGGGAGGCAACTTCCTGGGCGTGATTTGCAGCAGGCGCCGGGTAGGAAGCAGGCGGGCTCTTGCGGTGCGTGAAGCGGGTTGACGGAAGGGCAGGGGCTGCTCCCCTCTCCGCCCAGCCTGAGGTGCGCTTTTGCTGCCCCCAGTTCTGCATCTGGGTCGACGGCCTCAACGCCCTGGTGGGGAAGGACATGGGGAGCGAGCTGACCAAGAGCGACCTGGACACGCTGCTCAGCATGGAGATGAAGCTGCGCCTGCTGGACCTGGAGAACGTCCAGATCCCGGAGGAGCCCCCGCCCGTCCCCAAGGAGCCCAGCAGCTACGACTTCGTCTACCACTACGGCTGAGCCCCCCCGGACTGGCGTCGGCTGGACCTGGCGCGCTCCCCACCGCACATTAAAGCTCGGTTCCCCCCTCCAGCCCGGCTCCAGCCTCTTCTTTGCGCCGCGGTCGGCAGGGGGCGCTGTGGGGAGGCGCGGGCGCTCTAGCCGCGCGGCGTCTGCGGGCCGGGGGCGCTTCCGCCCGGAGCGATGGCCGGGGCGCGGGCGGCTGCGCGGGCGGCGGGGCTGGTGCTGCTCTACTACGGCTTCTCCATCGGCATCACCTTCTACAACAAGTGGCTCATGAAGGTGGGGGCGGAGGGGGCGCGGGCGGGGGGCGGGGCGGTGCAGGCGGCGCCGGCTCACCGCGTGGCCTCCCTTCCGCGCAGAGCTTCGCCTTCCCGCTGTTCATGACGCTGCTGCACCTGCTGGTCATCTTCGCGCTCTCGGGGCTGGCCAGGCGCTGCTCCCGCCGCTGCCACGCCGCCCCCGCCGCCGGGCGCGCCCTCCTGCCCTGGCCCGCCTACCTGCGCCAGGTGGCCCCGACAGGTGAGCGGCGGGGCCGAGGCGATCGCGCGCCGGGGCGTCCGGGGAAGCGGGCGGTCTCTCCCCGGGCCAAAGCAGCGGGGCCCTCCTGACGGCGCCTTTCCCGCTCGCACGCAGCGCTGTCCACCGCCCTGGACGTGGGGCTGAGCAACTGGAGCTTCCTCTACATCACGGTCTCCCTGTGAGTGTCGGGCGGCGGCTCCGGGGAGGCTGGCTCGGGGGACGGGGCTCCTCCGGTGGGGGGAAAGGCCGGGCGGGCTCCAGCCGCCACCCTCACGCTCCCTGCCTCCCTCCCTGCCTCCCTGCCTGGCAGCTACACCATGACCAAGTCCTCGGCCGTCCTCTTCATCCTCCTCTTCTCGCTGATCTTCAAGCTGGAGGAGCCGGTGAGACGCCCCCCCTCGCCCCGTGGGCGGCCTTGGGGTTCGGGCCACCCCCACCCCCACCCCCGGCAGCCCCGCCTGCCCTCTGCCCGGCCGGCCTCTCCGCTCAGCCGGCGGGTGACGCGGCTCCGTCTCTTGCCAGAGAGCCGCCCTGGTGCTGGTGGTGCTGCTCATCGCGGGGGGGCTCTTCCTCTTCACCTACAAGGCCACCCAGTTCGACGCCGAAGGCTTCGCCATGGTGCTGGGCGCTTCCTTCCTGGGGGGCGTGCGCTGGACGCGGACCCAGATCCTCCTGCAAAAGGACGAGCTGGGTGAGTGAGTGAGGGGGGGGCTGGGGGCTGGGGGAAGGCAAGGCCTCCCCCCTCCCTCCCCTGACCGGCTACTGCCCTTCCCTTCCCTTCCCTTGCAGGACTCCAGAACCCCATTGACACCATGTTCCACCTGCAGCCGCCCATGTTCCTGAGCCTCTTCCCCCTCTTTGCCCTGTTTGAAGGTCAGCAGCTGGTGGGGGGCTCACTCTGGGACCTCAGTGACCTCAGGCCATCCCAAGTTTCCTGAGTAGAAAGCTGTTAGGAGGCGGCATAAAGCGTGTTCCGGAACAATCCTGGGCAAGGAGACGGAACCTCAGGAGAAGTCCCATCGTGATTCTGCTCAGGCCTTTCCAAAGAAGTGGGGGCTTTAATGTGGGGCGGCCTGAGTCTCGCCGAGCAGAAGAGTCCCGTCAAGGGAAGGGCCCCTGGAGCTCAGCTAGTCCAACCCCCTGCACCGTGCAAGACTCCCTGCTGCAGGTTTCCAGGCCAACGGCTACCCTTCTCCCCACCCCCCACCCGTTTCTTCCCATTGCAAGCACTTTCAGGCGGAAGCGCTGCAATCCCCTCCCCAAATCCAAAACGGTTCCCAGTTCCCCACTGCACGTTGCAGGGGAACTGGCCGCCCACCACCTGAAACGCGGCTCTGATTATTGCGTTGGGGAAATCCGGCAGCGGTGGCTGGAAAGGAGGGGCGTTTTTCTTTAAGAGCTCTCGTTCGGCTCGCTCGGCTCCTGGGCGCAGAAGGCTTAGGCGGCAGCTCCTACATTGCAGGGGAGTGAAGTCATTGCGGCCATTGCCTGCCCTAAGCTGCCTGCTGGGTGGCCAGAGGGGTGACCAGCCACAAATCGTGGCACCCGCCTTGTTCCCTGAAGCTGCCGGGCAGATTTCCCCCCCCCCCGACCGTCCCGAAGAGGATTGTTCCTCAGGCTGTGCCCCGACCCAGATCCCTGCCGCCTGGAACTGCCCGAAAATGGCCGAAGGGTAGGGGCCGGTGGGTGGGCGGGGCTACATTCAGCGTATAAGACGCAACCAGATTTTCACCCCCTTCTTGGGGGTAAAAAGGTGCGTCTTATACACCGAAAAATACGGTATGTTTTCCTGAGGTTGCACAGCTACTGTGGGAACCCAGGGAAGGGCCTCCCTTCACGGTGACGGATGTGGCAGCCTGTCACTCCCAAGCCCCTTTTCAAAGTAGGACCTGAAAAGTGTCCCCCTCCCCCATGGTTCCTACCCTCCAACCTGCAGAGAAGGCTGGGGGAGGGGAGGCTTCTGCTGATCTGCTAAAGCAGCTTCCCCAGCACTGGCAGGATTCCCTCAGGGATTTTTGCCCCCCCCCCCCCCGAGATAGGAGAAGCAGCGGAAAGGCCTTCCTCCCGACGGACTGTAGGGCCTTGTCTGCCCCCGCCCCCACCCTCACCTATCTCTGGGACTTGCTTCCGAATCAGCCAGTGGTGGGTCTGGATCTACAAGCGAGCCCCCTCCCCCCCTCCCTATTTCTCCCTAGGTCTGCCCTTGTCTGCGTCGGAGAAGCTGTTCCGTTTCCACGAGGGGCAGCTGCTGCTGGAACTGTTGGGGAAGCTGGCGCTTGGCGGAGTGCTGGCCTTTGGGCTGGGCTTCTCCGAGTTTCTCTTGGTCTCCAGGACCTCCAGCCTCACCTTCTCCATTTCGGGGATCTTCAAGGTATTGGAGTGGGGCTCTTTTCCAGCCTATCCTCTCCTTAGTGGGTCTCCGGGCCTCAATAAGAGATGCCAGTTGTCTGCTTTTCCTTCTTCCGACACAACATGTGCGTATGTGGTTGTTACACCCCTGGGCCCTGCCTCCTTCTCTGAACCCAGGAACTGCTTAGAATTCACAATTCTATAAAAGCAAAAACAATGAAAGCCAAAAAGGTGGGTGCCTCTGGCTGTTACAGGGGTTGTTTAAGGGGGATCCCCAGCAGTGGGGCTGAGCCTGTCCAGTCCCAGCCTCCTCTGGCAGGGGGGGGGGGGCTCAGGCTGGCTGGGCTGCTGTGAGTTGATGCGCTGCCTTGTCCCCAGGAAGTCTTCACCCTCTTCCTGGCCGCTCACCTGATGGGAGACCAGCTCTCTCCCCTGAACTGGCTGGGCTTTGCCGTTTGCCTGCTGGGAATCTCTCTGCACGTGGCCCTGAAGGCCCTCGGGGGTAAGGAGGGGGGCAGGGGAGGGGCAGAGGGACATTCTTTCTGTGGGCCCTTGAAAGGCAGCTAACCCCTCTCTCCCCACGCAGGGCCAAAGGGCACAAAGCACCCCGAGGGGCCTGGCTCCGCTTCAGACCTGGAGCTTTTGCTGCTGCTGGATTCCCCGGAGGAGGAGGAGGAGGAGGCCGAGAATGCCCCCCTGCGCTAAGCCACCCCTTGGGTGGTGCTGGGGGGAGGGGGGTGGAATGGATTGCTGCCTGGAGCAAAGAGGTTGTGGGTGGGAGAGGCTGGGCAGCAGGGCTGCTTCTGACCCCCCCCCCCCACCCTGGACTGAGAGGGCACCCTCTTTGGGGGGCCTAGTGCCTCAGACTGTCTGGGCCAGAAGCCGAGGGGGAGGGCCTGTGGAGGCTGCATGCACTGAGCATGCCTTGCTGCCCGGCCCCTCAGCAAGGCCTGTGGATGGCAAGGGCGGCTGCTTGGAAGGGGGGTTGGGCACTTGCCAGGAAAACCTGTGGCAGAGATGTTTCGATGGGTCAGAAGTGCCCCGGAAGATGGCGGCCTCCCTTTGCCTCCAGTACCCCCCTGGGGGGAGACGTTGCTGTGCCTCAGGCCAGGAGGCCACCTGTGCCAAGATGCTCCTGAGCGTTCAGGAGGAGGAGGAAGAGGAGGAGGACTCTGGGAATGCCCGCCGGTCTGGAAAGGGGGAGCCAGGGGCTGAACCTGGGTGCAGGGAAGAGCCCCCCTGGTATGACAGCCGGATGCCCATCTCAGGGTGGGCTAGATGAAAGTGCCCACCTGAGTAGTAAGGACCCAAGGCAGAGGGAGGCAGGGCCTTGATGGGCGCCCCCACTGCAGCGATCACTGGGGCCAAAAGAATGCAAGAGCCCCAGACAAACCAATGGGGCAGCCTGTAAAGAACAGAGGGCTCTGTCGGCAGAGCACAACTCGCCAATAAATTGGCATCCAAATCCGTTCCACCAAAAAGGAGTGTTTATCTAACGATCGTCTATGGGAAGGGGAAACTGATCTGCCCCACCATGGGGGGGGGGGGGGGGGCTGGAGTTTCCTATGGCCAAACAAGCAGCAGATGGAAAATCCCATTCAGTTAAACAGCAACTATCTGCTCTGTTGTCCACCAAAATGGGAACTGGATTTCCCCTCCTTCCCAAAGGAACCACCTTGGCTGCACTGTCCCCTTGGGGACACCGAATGGCAGAGGGGCAAGGGGGGGATGGGAAACCGGGGTGCTTGCTTGGGCGCTTCTGAGGCTCTGCCAGGAAGTCAGGGCATGGTCACTTCAGGTGCCCAGTTTGCCCCAGTGAAAGCCCACCAGAGTCCCAGGGCCACTGGTGTCGCCATCTGCTGCTGTGGGGCGAGTCTGGTCCGAGTGCTTTGTGTGTGCCCGGGCAGCCTGGATCAAGCCCAGGGGTAGAACTGCCTGAGACGAGCCACCTCCTCCAATACCTCCATTTCTTTGGAGTCGAAGGGAGTTTTTTAATTCCTACCTCCTCCCTTGCAGTTCATCCACAGCAGTTCTGCTCAGGATCGCAGGCAAACTGCTATTGATAGTTGACAAATATCAAATTGATATTTAAGTTAAATATTTAAATTGATAAATAAATGATATTTGGGGGTTAGTTCATAAAGCTATGCATCAAGGATGCACATCACTTCTGTGACGCCAGGCAGCTGCGGCTGTTTTGC